TTATCCCCTTCCAGCTTCCCAAACTCAGGGGGATTTTTGAAGTACTCTACTGCCTTAGCACGAGCTTGAGCGAGCTACTCCGCAAAACTTCTCTTTGCATGGATAAGCTCGAGCTTTGCTTCCTCGACCTCGTCTCTCATCACCTACACAAAAGGACTTCATTATGATTCAAATATTCAAACTAATTCCTCAACGGTACACAAACCTAAACGCCTGTTAGGTGTAGATTTTTTTTAAATGAATTTTGTGAAGAGTAATATTTTTGAAGAATTTTTTTACTAAAAAGTGTGAACACATTACGGATCCAGTACAAAATTATTTTATTGAAAGAACGCGTGGTTAAAATTTGAGGAAAAATAGGCGCTAAGATTTACAATAGACAAAAGCAAAGCCCACACTAAATAATGCTTAGCAAGATCAACATCAATCAGGTTCATGACCCAAAAGATCTGAGAACATTCTATCGTTGCCTCAAGTAAAGTCGTAATACCAACAACCGACCCAAGTGGCAGCTTGATGCCACTAACGGTGGAGACTAGCTCACGATCGAACCAGACTAGTCATTCTAATAAACATGGAACGATCATTTTAGAGGGTTCAAGATCAAATGTGTTAAACTTTCAATCTTTTAAATAAATGGATTTATTTCTTGTATTTCAATTTCTATACCAGCCGAACTTGATTTTTACACCGAGCTAGATCATTAGTGCTATTTTTTCCTTCCCAACCAAAAATAGAAATTCAAGAAAATTTATTAAACCGATCGCAAAAGATGGATGACATTGTCCTATAGGTGATTCCCACCAAGCCCACTCCAAAGACATCATCAACCATTCCATTTTACACTCTACCTTGACTTACTTCAGAATGGACGCCGACTGATTTGGTTCGTATTTTTTAAAATTCAAAAAATTCAACTTTTCAAAAACAAGAATTGTATGTATGTAACTATTTGAATTCATGTAAAATGTGTAGAATTGATTAATACTGCAAGTGAATAAACCCTCAACCAAGACGGATTGCTTTCCCACTAAAATGGGCAAAATATTTTGATATAAATGTCCATCTCAGATTATATACTTGCAAGCGTATTACAACCATAACAAATAAAGCTAACGATTTGAAAGTAGTTCTTAAATGGGTATATTGAATTTTTAAGCTACTCTTCAAAAAAAGTAGTAATCATCGATTTTATTTGTGAATGAATTGTGTTGGAGTTGAATATATTCTTGTAATGTTTTTATGTAAAGTCAAGATTCCAAGAAAAAAAAACCAATAACCTTGTCACTTCTATATCTATATGAATAATAAAAAAATACGATATATATATATTGTAGGAAAATATTTATTGTACATAATCATTTCCATTACAGTCTTGTATATTAATGAAATGTCAAAAAGAAATTGGTGGAGGTTTTTTTATTTGATCGATGAGATTTTGATCTAAATCTCATCACATCATCCATTGGTAAATTAAT